TGTGCTGGGTATTGAACTCAGGACCTTGCACTTGTGAGGCAGCTGCGGTGCCCCTGAACTACATCTCCAGCCTCTGGGGCTTTTTCTGTGTACGTGCGGGCATCAGAATATCCAAAGCCATGTCCCTATGACCTTAGATATCTATGAGTTGGGCTGCTGGCATAACTCTCCAGGGAGCCCTGCCCATGAATTGCTGCAGAGAAAAGTTGAGTGAAGGTCAGTGAACGGGGCTTAAGAATTTGAGCCCCAGATCTATTTAGTACCTGAAGGCAGATGCCAAGTGGGTTTTTTGGGTTTCGTGTACCAGTAATTACTTTTGTTGAAGCTACTTAGATTGGGGACATACAACCCGAAAGTGAGCTCTATACCTGCAACTGCTTCACCTATTGGGAATGGGTTCAGCAGAATTTTCCACCTCCAATGAAAAAAAAAGATCAAGGACTGTCCTGGAGCCAGGTGAGGTAGAACAAACCTGTAATCCCAGGACTCCGGGAAGCTGAGGCAGGAAGATCAAAGGTCATGCCAGCCTGGAAAAATTAGCAATTTAATGAAGCCCCACCCGAAGGCCCTCATTGGGCCATAGTGCTAGGACACGCCCACAACCGTTTTTCCTAGATTCTCATTCGTCAGCCTTGCAAAGGCGCGGGTGGCGTAGTTTGAGTCCCTTGGACCCTGAGGCAGGCGCGCCTTTCCCAGTTACCTAGGCGACGAAGCGCAGCTCACAGAGCTGTTCCCGGAACTGGGGTGGTCCCTGGCCGTCGCAACTTCCGCGTCGGGTACTTTTGCTCGGCTGCGGCGGAGGTATGCGGGCGGCGGAGGGAGAGGAGGGCGGAGGTGTTCCTGCTCCCAGTCTGTGGCTGCGCCTCCCTAACCTCGGCCTTCCACCAGGGCCAGGCACTTTCTCCTTACCCGGCCTTTGTTCCTGAGTGTCCACAGAGTCCTGGGGCGCGTTTCCCACTCGAGGCATTCGGAGTCCCTGAGTGCCGCGGGGCGCGCCATCACCATTACTGGAGGCGCCGCCGTCTGTGGTGGCCGGGAGTGGCAGGAGCCCCAGGTTTCACGTTCTGGCACTCGTCCTCTTGGTTCTGGGTCCCGATGGGAGACTGGAGTGTCTTGATCCTGATTTCTCCTGCCCCAAAACGGCCGGGCACCCAGAATCCAGGCTGTCTGCTGTACAGGTGGCTCTCATTTCTGGGATTTTATGGGAAGAGTTCCGAAGGCTGCCCCGATATACGGTGTGTAAATTACGTACTCGAAGGAGATGAGATGGAAACGTTCAGGCTTCAGATTCCATTAGTCTGGTGGAAACAGCAGAGTTAACTGAGAAGGAGTTGGAACTCTGTTCTGACCGCGGTGGGAGCCATGGAAGGTTCGGAGAAGAGGAAGTGGTGACCGTGCCCAAGCACACTAAGAGGTGGTGAGGATGGAGGTGGACAGATCAGATAGGCGACTTCTGTCACCCGGATGTGTGCTTCTGGTGGTTGGACAGAGGGCTGGCTGCCTGTTGAGCAGAAGAAAAGTCTGGCTTCTGTGTGTGAGGGAGATAAGGTTGACCCTAGGGTGTGTGTGTGTGTGTGTGTGTGTGTGTGCGCGCGTGCATCTCACCTTGTAGTTCAGGCTGTCCTTGAACTCACTATGTAGCCCAGGCTGGCATCGAATTGTGGCAATCCTCCTAAGTCAGTCTCCTGAGTGGTGAGATTACAGGCTTACACGTATGCCCAGCCAACTTTTAACACAATAAGCTGGACAGTCAAAGTTAACCAGCACATCATCTGGATGTGGTGGCATGCACCTGTAATTTTAGCACTCAGGAGGCTGAGACAGGAGGATTTTGAGTTCAAGCCAGCCTGGGCTATACAGCAAGACTTTGACTCAAAAAAAAACAAAAAAAAAAAAAACAAAAAAACAAAAATAGATTAACAGACACAGAATCCCAGGGAGATGTGCTATGTCTAGCTCCAAAATTTTAAAATCAAAAGGGCCCATAAGTCAGGCAGCTGCGCTACTGATATCACACCCCCTGCTTACCAAGCTCCTGCCTATATAGGGCTCTTAAGTTATACAACACAAAGCAAAAGCAAGAACCAGAATTGTAGGAAGAGTTGTGTGTTTTTGTACACACTGCCTGTGAACTCTGTGGATGTCAGCAAACACCTCCTTGCTATAGTGCAGGGAGTGTCACACAGCCTCAGCACTGTGAAGGGACCCATGAGACAGCTAAGCAATGGCCCACCAAGGTATCACCTTGGCTAGGGTTTTCAGGAATGTTCCCCTACATCACCTCACAGCTGTTACTGCACAGGTGGGAACCCCAAGGTGAAAGACAAGAGCTCATGGACCTGAGCGTGGCTGGTATGAGGTGCAGGATTTTTATAGTCACACAGCATGGGCTTCATGATTACACTTCTATTTGCCACCAAGCAGGTGTGTCACCGTTAAGGGTGGGGAAACAACATGGTGGAGTTAATATGGATCTTCTCCAAAAAGGTCTCAATTTTTTAGTGTCTTTTGATTTTATAAATGTTGGAAAACATTTCTAGAAACATTTCAATAAAAACTCACTCTGCCAAAATTGCCAGTGTTGGTGACATGTGCCTTTAATCTCGGCATTCTGGGAGGCTGAAGCTGATGAATCCCAAATTTGAGACCAGCCTGGGTAGCTTGGTAATTTGGTGAGATCCTTCCTCAAAATACAAACTAAAATTGGCTGGGGATGCAGCTCAGTGCGGAGGCCCTGGGTTCCATCTCCAGTAGGGGGAGTGAGGCGAGGGGGTGGTGTGATCTTCCCCTACTGGTTCGGTTCAGTCTGGGTCATCTATCAGTGTGGGGTGAATACAAACACAGACTCAGGGACATGCTCAGGCCTAGGGAGAGGGGTCTACTTACTTTTCCTCCACTGCCCTCCTTCCTCCCTCCCCAAGGTCAGCAGATGATGGGCCCCAGGTCTGGCAGAGGAACCATACACTTGACAAATGTCCCCAGGAACCGAGAGTGCAGACCATGCCTGTTGACAGCAAGAGACAAATTTTATCTCAGTGTAGTGTGCATTAAGAGTTAACATACACATGGACCTAGGGACAGGATAATTACTGTTTGAAGCCGGAATTCTGAAGAAAGAAGGGACTGAAAGCAATAGATATTAGTTTGCATTGGTGGCTGGGAAGACCTCTCCAAGGAAATCACCTAGGAGTGACCCCAGATAGGAAGGAGCCGCATGAAGCCCTGCAGCCCAGGTCACAGGAGAGAAACAGGACTTGAGGTTGGGAGTGGGTTGTGCTGGCCTAGTAACCTGGAGGTGAACTCACTTCGCCATGGACCCCAGGGCCAGGGCTGATTTCAGAAGGATGCATGCTCAGCCTCTATGCTGGTGATGAGACAGGAGGTAGGGCATGGCAAAGCTGGCTGGGGAAATAAGTGACACCTGTTAATTACATTTACAGGACAGCGCCAAGTATTTCCCAGGACCCTTGTATGTAGAACTTCTTGCCAAAGATGTGCACAACACAAGAGACAGGATACCACAAGGAACCCACTATTGTGACTTCATGGTAGCCCACCCTGAGCCTCCTGGAGCCAAGGTGCACTTTCATTTCTGCTTCTTTTCTTTTTTCCTCTCTTGTTCAACCCATGTTGACTCTGCAGAGCCACTTTCTCCCTTACCCTGTCACCTCTCACTTTTCAAATAAACTTTTGGCACTGTTTTTGGCTTGTCCCACTTAATTCTTTGTTCGAAGCAAGAAGGACCTGGAGTAAATTTTAACTGGTGAGCCCTTTCTCTCTTTCCCTCCCCTGCTCCTTTTTTTTTTTTTGGTAGTACCAGGATGGAACTCCAGACCTTGTACTTACAAGGCAGGCAGAAGCACCAGAGCTAAATCCCGGGCTCAGGTGACCCATTTCTAAAGGAACTCCTCATACAGTAGGGTCTGGGGCTCATCGGTGAATGTGACACACAAGACTTCGCTGGGCCCCAGGAGGCTCTATCCTGGATGCTCCTGGGAGGTGTGTTGGTGTGCAGGAGGGGTCTACAAGTCAGGTGGAGCTCTCTTCAGGGCATCTGCACCCAACCCTAAACTTGTACTCCTAGCTGTTCAGGAGGCTGAGGCAGGATGTTGACTTCCAGGATAGCCTGGGTAATTTAGCAAGACCCAGTCTCAAAATGGGACAGAGGTGTATCTCATAAGCAGACTGCTTATGGTGAAAGGCCCTGGATTCAACTGCTAATACTGGGGGTGAAAAAAGATTAGGTAGATTACTCTAATTAGCTACCACCAAAGTAAAGTCATTTACAGTATTAGCTAGTTCCAGAAAGTCCACAGACCACTTCCAGGCACAAATGGACTTAGGGATCAGGGAGATCAAAAGGTTTATCTCCTGCTGCTTTAATGTGTTTTTTTGTTGTTAAAATACTGTGGTTGGGTGCTTTGTAGTTTTCCAGTATTGGAGATTGAACCCAGTGAACACTGAGCTACATCACAGCCCTATTTTTTGAGATTAGGTTTCACTTAGTTGCTTAGGCTGGCCTGCAATTTGGGATTTTCCTGCCTCACCTTCCTGAGTAGCTAGGATCATAAGCATGGGCCACTGTGCTTGGCCTGAAGTCTGTTCAGCTCACAGTTTTGGAGACTTCAAGTCCCAGACAGGGCAGTCCTATCTGTCTGGGCTCTGGGCTCATATGGACATGTCATGGTATGCAGGAGAAATCATCTACGGTGAGGCAGAAAACGAAAGCAGGGCCAATTTTCACTTCCTGTCACAACTCACTGTGAGAAGCAGCTTACTACACAAGGCCAGCATTAATCCCTTCTGAGAACAAGGCCACAATAACCTAATGACCTCCCACTCCCACAAGGCCTCACCTCAGTTAATGCTGCACTAGGGCCAAGACTCCAGCACATAAACCCTTGTGTGACAACCTGTATCTAACTACAGCAATTTCTCAGGTGGCTCTTTGGTTTTCTTTACACAGTGTCCTTTCTTTTTTTGGTACTGGGAATTGAGCTCAGGACCTTGCACTTGTGAGGCAGATGTGGTGCCACTGAGCTAAATTGCCAGCCCACAATGTCCTCCTATAGATGAGAGATGAGACTAGGCATGGTGGTGCATGCCTATAACCCCAGTACTCAGGAGGCTGAGGCAGAGGGGATTACTTGAGTTTGAGGCCAGGCTGGACTACAGAGTGAATTAAAGGTTTGCCTCAACTACATAGTGAGACCTTGTCTCAAAAAAACCCAAATAGCTGGGGATTTCGCTCAGTGGTTTCGCCACCTGCCTCACAAGTACAAGGACCAGAGTTCAATCCCTGCTAGCAAAACAACAGCAAAAACCCCCAAAACAAACAAATGAGGAAAGGTGGCTGCAAAATCTTACCTTTTGGGACAAGACAGCCCCTCTGCTCACATTCTGGCAAGTCCTTTGGCTGACTCATTAGCATGCTTCATTCAACCCACATCCTATGACTTTCAAGTGATTACTTATACCAGCCAGAGGCATGTGCACTGAATACCTGACAAAGAAGGTGAGTGGAACCAGGTGCAGTGGTACACAACAGTACTCCTAGCACAGCATCCAAAGACACTGGCTGGGTCTCAGAAGCCACATCCCATAAGTACAGGGTTTTCTTGCTCCATCCCACAAGAGAGCCCAACATCAGACTGGCTAACATTGACCACAGCTGCTCTCTGCCATCCTGCAGTCCCTACCAAGGCAGACGAGAGCCCAGGAACCCAGGAAAGTGATTCTCTACTCACAGTGTGAGAGCCTAGTTCAGATCCTAACCCCCAACACACATGTGTCACACACACATGAATCAGAACCCCAACTACAAAATATGACTTAAGGCTTTTATTACATTTCCCAAGCAGCAAGAAGTAGCATCTGCCATGGTAGGACAACTACCACAAGCGGTGTTGAGTGTCTATGAAAATGGTAAGATCTAGACGCTTCCAAGAAGATGGCTTAGCTCCTCTTGGCCAGTACAGTCCTGTCCACACCTCTCAGTCACAGGGAGGAAGAGGAGGCCTGTCGTGGGCTCCAACATTCACAGTTCCTTCCTATAGGGGGGATGAGGTCAGTTTACCTGGACATAGAGGGGTGACTACATACACAGTGGGAACCTGCCTGTTGGAGGTGGGATGGCTTCTGTCACAGGAGCCAATAGTGATGTGCCAACAGCTGGAACAGGCAGAGAATGCAGTGTGGCTCCCAAAGCTTCCCATGCAGGTGGCATGCATGGAATCTCCCAGGGTCAGGTGGAGTGCAGGATGGCATCTGGGTGTAGGAGGCCTCACTTCTTTCAGATAGCACCCTCACAAAGGCTGCTTTTCCCCATCTTTCTGGGATGAGGTTTCTCCTGCTGAGCCAGTTGCTAGTCGCTTGTGGCATCTCCGCCTGCGCTGGCCTACAGAGGCCTCTGCGGTATGAATTTTCCTGTGCTGATGCAGGGTAGAACTGTGCTTAAAGGCTTTCCCACATTCAGTGCACGTGTAGGCCCTCTCCCCAGTGTGAAACTGCTGGTGCCGGTTGCGGTAGGAGCGGGTGGTGAAGGTTTTTCCACACAGGCTGCACCCGTATGGTCGCTCTCCAGTGTGGACCTTCCAGTGCTGGTACAAGCCTGAACGGGTGACGTAGGTTTTCCCACAGTGCTCACACACAAAGGGCCTCTCTCCAGTGTGGACTCTCTGGTGAAGAACAAAGCTCTTGTTGTACTTGAAGAACTTTCCACACTCCCTGCACTCATAGGGCCTTTCTCCAAGGTGGACCTTCCGATGCCGAATGAGGGTAGAGAGCACACTGAAGGCCTTGCCACACCTGCTGCACTCATACGGCCGCTCTCCAGTGTGAGTTCTTTCATGCAGTGCCAAAGCATCTTTGCGGCTGAAGGTCTTCCCACATTCACTGCACTGGAAAGGCCGTATGCCCATATGAATCTTCTGGTGCTTCCTCAGTTTGGATGCATAGCTGAAGGCTTTCCCACACTCACCACACACATGGGCATCTTCTTCATGCGGATCTTTCTGGTCATCAGGGAGGGCTGAGTTCTTGGTGGGGACACTTCTGCCTGCTGGGCATTGGAAGTGCCGCTCTTCAGGGTGGGCTATCAGATAGTTGAGGAGAGCAAATGCCTTCAGGAAGCTTTCTCTGCAGTTACTGCACTTAAAGGGCTTCTGTGTGGCATGGATGCCCTGCTGTGGCTTTTGACTGGGGCTAGGGAGGGCTGGCCTCTGCTCAAGGCTCCCTCGTATTTTCCCCTCATTCAGGGGGACTTGAGGCCAGAGGCCTTTAGTGGCTGGGTTGTCACCCTGCTCTTCACATGTGCGGGGATGCTCTCCCACATGGATTCCACAACTCTTCACTTGCTTGGAAGGAGCTTCATCCTTCACCCTACACAAGCAACCTGAAAGCCAAGTCAGTTTCTGGAATTGGAATGCAGGAAGAAAGTACATGCATCACCCATGGAATTGAAGGGTGGTCACCCAGGAAGATCTGGGTGAGGATGTGCTGAGCTATCAATGACAGAGGAGGAATGACTTAAACTCAGATGAGGACACAAAAACAGAGCTAGGCATGGTGATGCATGCTTGGAATCCCAGCACTCTGGAAGGTTGATGTGGGAAGATTGCAAGTCAAAGCCCAGCTCGGGCAACCTGGCAAGATCATCTCAAAATAACAACGAACTGGGGATGTAGTTCAATAAGAAAGCTCTGGGTCTAATCTTCAGTAACAAACAAACACATGAGGTGTAGTACAGGGAAGAGGGCTGGGGTCCCTGAGTCCTCTATAGAGGATTTCAACAGGGACTCAGTAGCTCATGTCAGCTAAGCATTGTGAAGAGGCAGAGGTTTAGTCTTAGCAAAACTGGACTGTAAAATAGTAGCTGGTGTTTAAGTACTGTGTAAACATCAGCTAGTGTTCAGTACTATTTAAAGATATGTGCATATTTCACATTACACACAGAATGGTCACTAGTGCACAGCCTCGCCCAGGAACAGAGAAGGGGAAACTGAGACAAGGGTATAGGTGGGCCATCTACAGCCTGCAAGTCACGGAATGGAGATGGCAGGATGGCAGTGTGTAGAGGGAGAAGGGGGATGGTGGTCCCTGAGTATAATACCACACCCCAGTGTACACAGGCACCCAGCCTATCATGAGCCTAACCCTGACACCCAGGCACCTCAGGTCTACAAACCAAGGACAGTGCTGGTATAGGCCTGAGTGGGCCTCATAGGTTTTTTTTCCTCAATGCTTACACAGAAAGGGCCTCTCTCCACTCTGGGCTCTGGTGAAGAACAAAGCTCTTGTACTTGAAGAACTTCCTGCACTTACCGGGCCTTTCTCCAGGGAGACCTCTGGCTTCTGCTATGCTAAGCATGTCACATACCCAACTGCACACCATGGCTCAACATCCCCATGTAGCTCAGTAAACATATGCGGAGGCGGGGGCAGGACTGGGTCTGAACCTAGTGCCTTTTTCTTTTTTCTTTTTGTTGGTACCAGGGATCAAACTCAGGACCTTGAGCTTATGAGGCAGGCACAGTCCCATTGAGCTAAACCCTCAGCCCTTTTTCTTTCTTTTTTGAGGCAAGTAGTTCATACTGGACTTGAATTCACTATGTAGCCCAGGCTGGCTTTGAACTTGCAGGTCCTCCTGCCTCAGCCTCCTGAGTGCTGAGATTACAGGACTGTGCCACCACACCCAGCACACCTAGTGCCTTAAGTATACTAGACATGTGCCCTACCACTGAGCTACGTCCTAGTCTATTTTAAGACATGGTCTGCCTTGAACCTGACATCATTTTGCAATAGCCTCCCGAGTAGTGGGATTATAGGTGTGTACCAGCATGTGTGGCTCTTTGTAAACAAAAAGTTTTAATTTTAAAACAGGGTCTCAGCTGGGCACAGTGGTACACAACTGTAATCCCAGAACCGTGGCAGACTGAACAGAAGGATCCCAGTTTGAGTCTAGCTTGGGCAACTTAAGTCACTTAGACTTTACCTCAAAAATTTTTAAAAAACCAATTGAGGTTCAATCCCCAGCACAGGAGGTGGGGGTGGGGGTGTAAAATTTACATGTATAGAGGGCAGGGACAAGGGGAAAAAATGAGAACCAAGACTTGTCATGTAGAGGTACAACATCCCAACACAGAATGTAACTGTACTGTATCCCTAAAATGTACCAATAAACTCAACTCAAGCTGAAAAAAAATTTACATGTATAAAAAAATAAAAATGGGCCGGGGATTTAGCTCAGTGGT